CCCCAAAACCCCAAAACCCCAAAACCCCAAAACCCCTTTTAATTCATAAAATAATAACACAAAAATTTAAATGAGTATGTATAATGGTCTTGAAGAAGATGGCGCATTTTCTTCAGTGCCAAAATCAGATGTCCATCGGAGCCAAAAATCACCAAAAGAGGATTTTAAGACATCTTCGTCATACCAGAACCCGAAATCTTTCTATAAAGAGATCAAGTCTGAAAGGAATGCTCTATTCAGTAGCCAAGGTAACTCAATCTTAACCCAGAATAGGCGCAGAAGACCACACACCTAATTATGCTATGACTGAGAGACATATGAAAATAGAAGACCTGAATTGTGATTCTAAAGAGAGAAACAATTTTTATCAGACTGATGCCATCAAGAATTACCCCTCAGAAGGCAGGATCCCCAGATGGGAAGAAAATGAATCAAAAATTAACCAGACAATCAAAAATCTTATCAGCGAGAAGACAAAAATTGAGGAAGACACAATGAAGATCAAGAAGAACCCAGAGATTTTACCCCAGGATAAATTGAAAATGCTTAAAAGTGCCAGAAATCTTTCCCAGACAATCAACACATTGCTCGAGAAATCCCAGGACAGGCTTAGTGAGTTTTATAGCTCCCAAGCTCGGGATAAATCAATGTCTCCAGGGAAGCAATCAAACTTTGGAATCAAATCTTTGAAAGCTAAACCAGTCCAACCTCAACCAGATGGGTTTGATATGAGTAAGATTTCCTTTTATGACCTCATAGCCAATCAAGCGGACAGCAAGGATGGAGAAAGGATTAACAGTCTCTCAAGTAAAGGAAAACAACACAGCACTGAGAGATATGACAGTAAAATCATTTAATCATTCTTTAGCAAATCAAGAGTCTCAGAAAGACCCATTGCTTACATCAAAGAATATATTTCCCAGCTTTAGATCTGATGTAGCTTTCAACTGTCCAGAAGATAATCTCAATGTATCTCCGAGATTTAATCAGTCAAAGGGAGGATTTGAGGAAAATCTCAGTCCTAACACACAAAGATCTCAGAGAGCAAAGTCTCCTAACGAAGAACTTGGAGAAGTAAAACAGCTCCTATATCAAGCAATGAAAGAGTTAGAGACTAAGAACATTATCATTGGGAAATTCAATCAATACAAGCTCAAGATGGACAAAGAAAAGGAAGAAAACAACAGTAGAATCCAAGAATTACTCGAATGTTCCAATGAAGAAGCCAATCAAACCCTAGTTGAGCAAGTTAAATCGCTCAAGCAACAACTTGATAATGAAAAGTCTAATACTAACAAACTGATGCAAATGTTTGATGGCAAGTTTCTTCATATAACCTCCTACAGACAAAATCAATGAGGATAGTATTTTAGAAGTAAGTTCAGAACAAATTAGTCAATACAAAGACCAACTGAAGTACAAAGATCAGCTCATTGCCCAATTCCAGGAGAAGAACCAAGCGCTTGCTGATAAAATCGATGAAGTATGCAACGAAAAGACTATCCTTGAGGAGAAATACGAATCAATCCAGAACTCTTTCTTTGAAAAAGAGAATGAAGATGAGACTACACTAGTCCTTACCCAGAAGATAGAGTACCTTCAAGAAGAGATTCAAGAAGTAAGCCAAGCCAAACATCGGAAAGAAGTTGAATGAGATGATCTTATCCAACAACTTAATGATAAAGAAGATGTAATCTGTGCTAAGAATGATGAGATCCAGAAGATATACTCAGACTTCTCCTCTACTGAAGATGAATACCAGGAACATATCAAACAGCTAGTAGAAGAAAATGAGCAGCTAAAACAAAATTGCTACCAGTTCCAGGAAGAACTCCAAGGGTATAAGGACAAACTTGAGGTATTACAAACCGAGCTTACCGATATTCAGTCAAAGTCTATTGATAAAGATAACGATCACATGAGCTTTACTAAACAATGTGAAGATAAATCCCAAGAAAAGATCTCAGCTCTCAGAGAAGTATATGATAGCAAAGCCCAAGAACTTGAAAATAAGCTTGAAGAAACAATGCTCAAAGAACAGAAAGAGTGTGAAGAAAATCTTCGTCTTCAGCAAACACTTTATGAGATCCAGGCAGAAAATGAAAGATTAAAAACTGAACTGGAAATGAGCAAAGAGTCGATTGAACTCTCCCCACAAAGAGCTCCAGCTTACCCAGACTCTCTTACCCAATCTCTTTCTCTCAAAGAAGAAGTAAGTCTTTGATAATTTTTAGTTAATCTCTAAACTAAAAGCGAAGATAACTTCTGTGAAGGAACAGCTTGCGAATCAAGCTGAAGAGTTTAGAGAGGAGAAGGCTGATCTTAATTCGAAAATCACCCAACTCCTAACCCTCACCCAAAAAGAGCGTGTCCAAAACACCACCTCCTCAATCACCACCACAAACCACCTCCAAACAATCGAACAGCTCAAAACCACCCTCGCCAGACAAAAAGAGACCAACTCAAAACTCTCCTCCCAAAACACCAACTACCTCCAAACCCTCCACAAAAACTCAGAGACCCTCAAAACCCAAGCTGAAAAACTCACCCTCCTCACAGAGAAATCCGAACTTTCTCAAGCCAAAATCACTGATCTTCAAAAGAAATACGATAAAGCCATAGAAGTCATCAGAAAACTTGAACAAGAAAATGTAGATTCTAAAGCAGAAATTGAAGATTTGAGGGATTTTAAGAAGCAGAGTAGAGGTCAAGAAAGCAAGATTTCAGTTGAATATGATAATTTGTTGAAGGAATATAAGGAGCAAGTGCAGAGATTACAGTTTGAATTGGCCAGAAGTCAGGAAGGGAGATATGATGAGTCAAGGATGCATTCGCAGTAAGGGATTGAGTGAGGGTTGTATAGGAATATGACGACTAGTCAAATGCCGTTAGGGTATTCGCATAAGCAGGATATGGGCAGGAGTATGAATGAGAGAGAACTACAGGATCATACTTATGGACATACGGAGGAGGAGCATGATGTCAATACTACAAATAACCATCTTGATGTTAAACCGTAAGTTTAGAGGAATTAAGGTTTGAAACTTATTTTTAGAGTCAACTACCGCAACAGTATGCCAGCGATGAACAATACTGAAAATGAGGAACAATATCAGGAGTACTTCAACCAATGGGCAATGAGTTTGAAATAATTCTTCAATTCTAATCTTCCAAACGGGGTTTTGGGGTTTTGGGGTTTTGGGGTTTTGGGGTTTTGGGG